TTCATATATATATATATATATATATATATATATATATATATATATATATATATATATATATATATATATATATATATATATATATATATATATATATATATATATATATATATATATATATATATATATATATATCAATCATGAAATGTTACTGCTCAGGCTACATCAAAATTTTGGAATATCTTGGGAAATAATAAATTGGCTCAGAAGCTACTTGATTGGCCGAACACAGCAGGTTTCGTTCAACGGGAGTTTGTCCTGCGTCAGTGTGGTTCGCTCTGGTGTGCCGCAGGGTTCTGTTTTGGGTCCTTTATTGTTTCTGCTTTATACATCTGATGTGCTGAAGATAATTGATTCATATGATTTTAAAAGCCATGCATATGCAGACGACATTCAAATTATGTTATCAGGTAAACCGAAGTTATTTCAAGACGAGATTACGAGATTCATTGAATGTATAGCGGAGGTTAATCTGTGGATGTCGAGAAAAGAAATGAAGCTTAACCAGGGTAAAACAAAATTTCTTCCTATTGGTACCAAGCAGCAGTTGGCGGACGTGGATATAAATTCAGTTGTTATGAATGTTAAAAAAATAGATTTCTGTAAAGCAGTGTCGAACCTAGGTTTTATAATTGATTCAAACCTAACAATGAAATCTCATTTAAAGATGATCTCTATATCATGCTTGGCACAGATTAGAAGAATGAAACGAATTCGAGAATCACTTGATAAAGACGCAATGCAGACTCTGGCGCATGCGTTGGTGCACTCACGTGTCGATTATTGCAATAGTTTATTTTATGGACTCCCGGCTAGATCCATCAAAATTCTGCAATCGATACAAAACCGTACTGCCTGGATTGTGGCTGGATGTCGATGGTATGATCATGCCACACAGATCCTGAGTGATTTGCATTGGTTGCCCATAAATAAAAGAATTGTTTTTAAAATCTCTGCCACAGTTTTCAAATCACTAAATGGTCTGGCTCCAAAATATTTATCAGATAAACTGAAATTAAAAACGTCGATCGCATCTGGTGTGCGTCTGAGGTCTGACGATTCGAACATTCTTGAGGTTCCTCATAGACAGCTAAAGATTGGATCGCGTGATTTTGCTGTCAGGCCCTGTCGTATGGAACGGCTTGCCGTCAGCCCTCAAAATGCCTGGAATGAACATTGCTGAATTTAAAAGACAATTAAAGACATACCTTTTTTCATTATAGTTCATCTCTTTTCATTCTTGCTATTTCGTTATTAATATTGTTATAATTTGATAGCGTTTGTGAAAACTGCTATAACGAACGCTATATTAAGTTTTCTATTAATAATAATAATAATATATATATATATATATACATATAAATCCACCATATAATTAAACCATTTAATACGACATTTAGTCATTAATTTATTAATTAATTTATTAATTAACCAGTTATTATACCAATTAACCAAACCACCAATTATATTTATATATATATAAATATATATATATAAACCACCAATTAAATATATATATATATATATATATATAGGCATTAATTTATAGTGATGTATTGATGTGATTGGTCGTTTTGGTAATGTTATCTGGTCATTCTTTATTATCAGATTGATGTAATTTTCAGAAAAAAAATTGAGCATCATTATCATCAACGTTTTCATCATTATCATCATTTAATCATAATTTGAAATATATATATATACTTGTCATACAAATTTTTTTACACAAATTCAAATGGCAAAACACACACTCATATACAAAGACTCAAGTATACATAAATATCTACAAATATATATGTCCCTTGTTATTATATATTAATATATCATTTTGATTCATATATATATTATATATATATATTACCATGTGTTATGTATTACTAAATGTTATTTTATTACTCAAAAAAAAAAATAATTCAACTCGTAAGGCTTTTTTTTCTCAAAATCTTCAAGTAATTAAGATAATAAAATTAATCAGGTGATGTGTGTATGTGACGTACGGACTATGTGTGTGTGTGTATGTGTGTGTGTATGACATACAAACGTGTTTTTGTGTGTGTTTGTGTGTCTGGTGTGCGTGTTGTTAATGATACTGAAAAATTTTGTCGCCAATACTAAAACCAATGCCGGCTTTAAAATGTATTTCCTCTATACCAACACCTTTACTAATGTTTAAAATTCGTCCAATGCCACGCCAGCCAACAGATGAAATTATTCTATCAAAAATAATAAAGCAAATATTTTCATTCTACAAATCAGCAGTCTTTTCAAAGCAGAAAGAAACTGTTAATTGAAAGTTTTTTTGAAGTTTTTCCAACCGCAGTTTCAAGATACAAAGGTCAGTAGAAAGACAAAACATGTTTGCAAAATCAAAATAGTAGCAAGATCTGTATCACTATTGAAAAACGAACAATCGAACGAAGCAACATGGTCTAATCTATAATTATTACAACATAGAGAGACCGTTCGTTTTTTTTATAAAAAAAATTTCAAAACACAAAGTTTTTTTTTAGTATCAACGTTTTTATTCAAAATACAATTTAATGTTCACAAGGTCTATCAAACCTATGAGAAATGAATGAATGAGTAAATGAGTGAATGAATGAGTAAACGAATGAATGAACCATAAACGATTAAATGAATGAGTGAATGAATGAGTGAATGAATGAATGAATTAATTAATGAGTTTCCTAGCTATCCACGTCCCCCAATTTTCTCAATGGCATCAAGATCGTCTGTGTCCAGTCTCTGAATCTTTCGCCCTGTTTGAAAGTTACAAAGTTACATGATTGAATAATTGACTGATTGAATAACCGATTGATTGGTTGAATAATTAGCTGATTGATTGAATAACTGGTTGATTGGTTAGCTGATTCATAGTGACTATTCAATCTTTTAAATTTTGAATTGTCCTCACTATTTGATAAACTGACTGGCGATTGATAAAATAGATGAACGCTTGATCAAGCAGAAATGAAGTAGATGACGACAACAACAAACACATCAACAACAACAACAACAAACACACGCACAAACAACAACAAACACACAAACAACAACAAACACACCAACAACAACAACCAAGCACACAATCGCAAACACAACAACACAAACACAACAACAACAACACAAACACACCAACACGAACCAAAATGTGCCTCGATAGCTCTCATCATCTGCATAGACGCCTGGCTATCGATCATGTTGATGGCCAGTCCATTCTTCCCGAACCGACCGGTCCTACCGATTCTGTGCAGGTAGGTGTCGAAGTCTACCCTGTGCATGGTGTCCACGGGGAGGTCAAAGTTCACGACCACTGTTACTTGTTCAACATCGATTCCTGCGTTGATATTTGTTATTTCGATATAGCTCAATATCTGTGTGTAAGGTTATCTGTAATTGTGGGTAGTTATTTTGTATGTATGTATGCATGCGTGCATGTACGTATGGCTATTTGTATGCAAGCGTGAGTGTGTTTTAAAACGAAACAAAACAGCTAAAAGTAGAGAAGAGAACTAAGTGAAATACAACGAAACAACAGTCACTCAAAAATAAAAACCCAGCAAACTGACCCCTAGCCGACACGTTGGTGGTGATCAGCACCCTCTCTTTGCCCTCCTTGAACCTGGCTATGACTGCAGCCCTCTGCTCGACGACCAACTCTCCAGACAGAAGAGCCACCTGGTGGCCATCGCCTGACATCTTCTCGGCCAACCAACTCGCACAACGTTTCGTCTGTCGTTAATGATGATAGTAGCGATAATAATGATGATGATCATCATGATAGTGGTGGTTGTGATTATGATGAGAATAATGATGACGACAACAATGATGATGAAAACAACAACAACAATAATAATAATAATGAATAATGATGATGACAAAACATGAAACACAAAAACGGAAACCGGCCCGACTGATGATGGCGAATGATGGCGAGAGTGGCAAAACAGACTACAGAGAGACTAACATGGCAGAAGACCATGCACTGTCCTATACTGATGGCAGAGTAAATGTTAGATAGAGCCCTGTATTTATCTTCGTCGCTCTGACACTCGATGTAGTACTGCTTGATGTTCTCGAGGCTCTCCTCCTCCCGCCGCAGTCGGATGACCATGGGGTCCGATATGATCTGATTGGCGAATTTCATCACCTCCTCGTCGTACGTGGCCGAGAACAGGAGCATTTGGCAGTTGGGTCTCAGTTGGCTGATCGGTCAGTTGGTAGGAGTGGTTGGTTATTTATTGACCAATCAATTGACCGACCAAACACAAAAATCAATCAATCTTCGTTTTGCGTAAAACACACAAAAACGAAACATAAACAATCAAACAGACAGATAGAAAGATAAGCAAACTGACAAACAGACAGACGCCATCTTCACTAACTTCCTAATCCTAACAGACTGGTCCTGATGACCCTGCTTATCGATCATGACGTCGGCCTCGTCCAATACGAACACCACGATCTTTGACATGTCCACTGCGTGAAATTTCCAACACCAATCAAGCAGGGTACCCGGGGTTCCGATTATGATGTGGAAGGGAAGTTTTTCATTTTTACTCACTGTGAGATTTGAAAGAGTGAATGTGTGAATGAGTGAATGAATGGATTAATGAGCAAGCAAATGAATTACCGATTAAATGAATGATTGCACAATGAATGAAAGGTTGAATTGTGAATGAAGAAATGAAAATAATGAATAAAAGTTTAATAAATACGAAGTTTAAATAGTCAAAATAGTTATTTCAATCTGGTAATATGTAAACCAGCCTGACAACAATTCAACCAACCAACCAGCCAACCAATCAACCAGCCAACCAATCAACCAGCCAACCAACCAGCCAACCAATCACACACATACTTACCTCTATTTCCTCTGACAGCATAGCCAATTTGAATATCAGTCATAAACTTTGACATCTTCTCGGTCACATCCCCAATCTGTAGGGCCAGTTCATAGGTGGGGGCCAGGCAGAGACACTAATCGAATAGTAATAGTTAGAAGGATTAGTGTGAGGTGAAAAAGTAAGCTGTTACCAGTTTATTTTTTATTTTTTTTTTTTTTTTAATCCAAATTTTATTTGACAGAAAAAATAAGTCAGGAGATCAAAAAAGTAACAAACTACTTGTGCAGACCACCTTAACTAATTAAAGTTCGTGTGCAATGTACAAAACACAAAGTAGACAAGTCGTTAAATAGAATTAAACATAATAAAAATATATATATACATACACACACATACACACATATACACATACATATATATAATAACATCTTAAACATCGACGGACATGGACATAACTTCGCTCTTAGCATAATGCTTAAAGTGTTCAATTGTAAGTTGCAATTGGTTATGCATAGCTAAAGCGTTCCAAAGTCTAACTCCCTTAGCAACCCAACTTCTATCGTAAGTAGAAGTTCTAACTTTTTTTGACATCAACATACCATGTTGTCTGGTGGCCGATGTGATCTTACAAAAAACATTTAGGTGCTTATAATCGTTATAAGAAAGAATTTTATAAAGAAAAATCAGAAGAATGTAATTGTGTAATTGATCAAACCTAAGAATTTTATGACTTCGGAACAAATGATTGGTGTGATCACGATAACTTAAGGAGAAACACAGGCGTATAAAACTCTTTTGTAGCACAATGATCTTATTGATTAGATATTTACTTGCGGATCCCCAGAAAACATTCCCATACAGCAGATAGGGATATAGAAAAGAATAATAAAGCATCATCATTGTTTCAGTATCCAATCTGTTTCTCGCTTTAAATAATATTCCAATAACTTGATACAATTTATTGACTATTTTGTTAACGTGATTGGTCCATTTTAAATCACTTTGAAGTATAACCCCCAAAAATTTTATCGATTGCACTCTTGGGAGCACAGTGCCCTGAATGAACAATTTATTTTTTTCTAGAATTTTGTTATTAGTACTTATTTTAGGGCCAAATATAATATAACATGATTTACTTAAGTTCAGTGCCAATTTATTTTTCAAAAACCAATCACAGAATTTTTGGAGCTGACGATTCATTTCTAGGAACAATTCATTTGGGTCTTTTCCCGACAAAAAAATATTGGTGTCGTCGGCGAACAGGATTGTAGTACATTTATCTGATATTGAAAAAATATCATTTACAAAAATTATAAATAATAGGGGGCCGAGTATCGAACCTTGGGGCACCCCTGTTTGAATTTTAAACGGAGGAGACACTACATTATCAACTGAAACAAACTGACTCCGATCAGATAAATACGACCTGAACCAGTCAAACACAACTCCACGAAAACCGTACATCGACAACTTTTGTAGCAAAATTTCGTGATCAATTACATCAAAAGCCTTTTTTAGGTCAATGAAAACACCCAGGCTAAATTTTTTCTTATCGAAACCCTCCAAGAGAGACAAATGCAACTCAGCAATGGCCTTCTCAGTTGAAGATTTTGGGACAAAACCATACTGATGTCTATTGATCACGCTATGCTCAATCAGATAATCCCACATGCGATTGAACATTAGCTTTTCAAAAATCTTGGAAAAAACCGGCAGTATTGAGATTGGACGGTAGTTTTCAAAAAGAGTCGGGTCACCACCTTTAAAAACCGGTATTACTTTAGCCATTTTTAAATCATCAGGGAATTTGCCCATTTTAATAGAATCGTTAAATAGTTTTGAGATTTGACTAGCAACATGAAAAACAGTATGTTTGAGGATCTTAGTAGAAAGAAAATCACAATCAAAACTATTTTTCAAATTCAAATTGCCAACGACCGAGACAATCTCATCCGGAGTTGTGTCTCGTGGAATAAATATTGGGTTATTAGAAACCACATATGGACCGACATTTGAAATCAACTGACCATCGCCTAAAATTTTATTGATATTTTTACCTATCTCAACAAAAAATTTATTCAACCCTGTAACGGTGCTCAATTTAGCAGTTTCACATATGATGACTGATTATTGTTGTCACCATTATCATTATTGTTGTAAATGTGATTTAAGGTAATCCGTCATCAACAAAAATTACTCACTAATCCATTTGGTGAAACAACAAAAAATCACCAAGTCACTCACTCACTCACTCACTCACTCACTCACTCACTCACTCACTCACCCACTCAATCAATCAATTTTTAGCGTCCAGAGACCCAGTTCCCCTGAGGTAGGATGTTGTTTTCTTTGCCATCAATTTTTTGCGCCAAATTAGGCGATCAGTTGTATCCAGTCGTTGTATCCAGTTGTCGTCAGGAATGGTGTCCAAATGTAAAAATTTCCCCAAAATTATTCTAAGTCACTCAATCAATCACTTAACCATCAAACCAGCCAATCAGGTAACTAACCAGCCAACCAACCAACTCACCTGGGGATAATTTTTACTCGTATCGACTCTACTCAACATGGTGAGGACAAAGGCCGCCGTCTTCCCTGTTCCACTCTGAGATTGGGCTATCATATTTGCCGGCCTGTTATAATAAAGTACAAACAATATAATTTTTTAACGTAATAATTATAATCGTAATTAACATAATTAAGTATCGGTATAATTATTAAGTAACGTTATACTTTTAAAATGTAAAGTACTACTGAAACAGTATTCAAATCTTAAGAAGTGTAAATTGTACTACTATTAGACTGCAATTTAGAATGAAGTAACGAAATACACAATAACATGCACTGTACTGTACTTCAATCTAACTAAAGTAATGTAATGTATTAAATGGTGGTGCATAGTAACTTTACAATCTGTTACAATTGTAAAGTTACTATGTAACTTTACAATCTTTACTTACGGATTTCCTAGTAAAGAAGGTAGGGCTGTCTCTTGAATTTTTGATGGAGCATTGAACTTCATCTCATACAGGCCTTTCAGGAGCTCGGGTTTTCTAATGAAAAAATATTTTAAAATTTTAATTAATTATAAATAAATAAAATGAATCTACTTATAATCAATATATTTATTTATAATTAATAATAATTATTATAAAATAAGTTTTAAGAGATATATAAACAAATAAATGTATAAATCTCTCTGCAAATTTTTCTGTAACAAAAAAAGGTAAAAAAAACTA